TTTCCATCTTTTCCATCTGGGCACAAGCTAGCCAAATTCAATCTGGCAGTCTCACTACTCTCTCTCTGAGGAAATTCAATATCAATACCCTTAATCTGCTCCGATATTTTCCATTGAGCTCTCAAGCTAGCTAGATCAAGGTCACCGTCGTCGGTTTCACCTACATCCACAGCCAGCGCATGTAGAAAAAAAATGAGCAATACTTGCACTAGTGCTTCTTCTTTTTATTATTATTACCAGTCCCTAAAGGAACTGCTCCAGAAAATAATACTCATCGTGAGCCATCATGATGATCTCGATGACCTAGAAGCTCCAGCTGCCCAACCACAACCATCTGCAACAACAACAGCAGCAGCTAGGAACTTGGATTGGGCAAAGATTATTGTGGTGTATTGCTTGTCAACAGGTGTTACCATGGCTCTCATACGCACCCAAGTTGACCCCAGCAAGCTCTGATAGGATTTTTAGTACCTGTGCAAACAGGGTTAAAATCACGTAAAATACTTGCAAGAATACAAGACTATTGTAGTATAAATGCTCATGCAAGGTCGTTTTCCACAAGAACTATTTAGCAATTTATGTGAAAACAATTTCCTATTTACTACCTAAAATTAAAAGTAGAGAAAGATGAATATGAACTTGTGTGATACTAAAATCAAATTTAAACAAAAACAAATACGATTGGAAGAAAGAGTTTTGAATATCAATGTATGAAAGCACTAGGGTTTCACCGTCACCTAGCAATCCTATAAATTTTTATCAATTACTTATGATTTGCGCATGCCACTTTGAAGGTTAGGTTTTCCTAATTTATATTCCACTTGGAACCTCCAGCATAGAACATATATCTAACATGCAACCTGTCCGGATGTTCGGATCAAATCTGAACATGAAAGACTCATTAAGTTTTGTGAAAACCCTTTGAAAAACCACGCAACCCTTAAGAGCGTGATATTTGCCTTAAGTGAACTTACAATTATTAATCACAAGAAGCTAGCATCAATTTCAGGGAACCTTCCGACCAAATTTGCATCTAATTACTTTTCTAAAGATCCTAATGGTGATCAGGCATTAAGACAATTAGATAGTTTAAAACAGTTATTAACAATTCAAAATATGCATGCACTCAATCATAAGCAATTAAATAAAAATCACATATTCATGCTAAGGTTCAAGGCTTCACCCTAGCAAAAGAGAATTAGTTACACAAAGGAAGTCGAAATAACGGATATTCATGCTTGGGCTCCAAAAACGCAATAAAAGCCCAAAACGTCACTATTCCAGCACCATGCACTGCTCATTTATTTTATCACCAGAAAATAATCGCTTGGTAGAAAAGTCTGAAATTTCAATATGATCAAGCCAAGTGACTCACGAACGTCCTCCAACTGGAATTACTCCAAAATTCGTCCATTTGATTATGTTTTACTCCAGAGGAAGTCGAAAGTCCTATATTGAAAATATAATTCAAAGTATCAAAATTCTTCCAAAATATTAACCAAAATATACTAAGAATGAGGTTAAATATATAATATAAAATCGACTCATCAAGCTCCCTCTAAGCTTTTTCTTTCTCGGATTGGCAGTCCTACTCTACTCGCCTTTGCGTGCACCATGATAAGCAAATTTGTTCAGCACTCCAACTGTCCAAGAATAACACCTCATCTCTTCCATTTCTTTTGGGTCTTTTTCGGAGTCACCGCCTTCTTCATTTCCATTACAATCCTTTTTCCTCTCTGGTTTAAATGTACTACATCTGTCATCTATGTGGCCTCAGGCCTCGTAGTCATATTTTGATATAACTTCTATAATTAATATTAATGTTGGGGTATGTATAGCTAACTTGCCAGCCAGCAAAGAAAATAAAGGAGAGAGAGAGAGAGAGAGAGAGAGAGAGAGAGAAGAAGAATATTAAATATTATTTTGCATAATTTCTTGATTAATGTTTGTCATGCAACGAATTCCACATCATACATAGTGTTAAAAGTGAATAAAAATGGGGAAATGGAAAACTCTGGATTAAAAATTTAGGACATGGGTGTCTAAAGTATATCCTTGAGTGCAAATATAATTTCGTATAGTTTTATCCCTTGTAATTTTGATCCTCTGCCAGCAAACTAATGGTTTGCAATCTATTTTAACCCAGTTGAAAATGTGTCAAAATATGACTTGCCCAAACCGAATGTTCCTCTCTCAGAAGGCAAAGAAAAAGCCCAAGGTCTGTGTCTCACCCAAAAAAAAAAAAAAAAAAAGCCTAGGTCCAATTCTTTTAAGAGGCTCTAAAATTCGTATAATAATTATTGAAAAATAGTTTTTTCTTAAATAATAATTTTGAGTGACACACATGGGATTGGAATATGCCTTATTTTCTGATGGAATGGATCAGAACTAGGAGAGTCCAATTCCATAAAATAAAATAAAAATAAAAAAATCGAAATGAAAATTCACTTGTCAAATTCGAGCAATATTAACAAAGTTTCAACAAAAAAAGAAAAATAGAAATTAAAATAATTTGACACATGTAAAAATTACATTTGTTGTAAGGAGGAGCATCTCCTCAATCTTATTTGCCATGCGGATTTAACAGAAAATCGAAAGATGATTTTCCTTTAAAAATCAATAATAGTTTAAAATAAAAGAAAACAAGTACACATTTTTTAAAATGACTTGTTAAGTATTAATATACAAAGTCCGCGTGCATTGAAAGGGGTCCAGACAAAGATCCAAAAGTTGAATTACTTTTTTAGTCTTTCAGGTTTTAGTAAATGAATTTCTATAAAATAAAAAATGGAAAGTAAATGAAAACAGACAGTTTATGTTAATTAAAATATTTAAACAAGTCAAGTTCGAAGGTGACAAAAGTCAAGCCATATTAGAGCAGTTCCAGCCACACAGCCCAGCCCGAGGGGAGGGGGGAAAAAAACAAAAATCCGTTTCCAGCCATGCAGCCCAGGCCCGGGGGGGGTGTGGGACCCACCAACCCGGCCTGCCCCGAAGGCAACTCTCGCCCCAGGTCCAAAACTCGGTGGAGGTGACGTCATGACGACGTAAGGCTGACGTCGTCACGCGTTATTCAATTTTTTTTACCGTTGGCGCGTGCAATGGACGCGCCAACGGTAAAAAAAAT